ACAACGCCGCAGTGTTTCATATATCAATACCTACTGACAGACCATTATTGCGCCTTCCTTGTTAAGACCGAATTTGGCTGCTTTCTGATAGCCAGGATCGTGTATTACAACTTTAAGGGACCAGATAGAAATCGCAGTTGTGCTACGGACAATAGAAACAAGGAAGGCTGAGGCTGTCACTGTAGTCACAGGCTCCGGTAACATGAGACCTGAGCTCGGATCCAGGTGGTCGATAGGTAAACGCTCAGCCTCCAATGTGCGGGTGCTGGCGGGACTCGAAAGGAATCTCTAACGCAGAACGGGACGAGTAATTTTCCTTAGGGATCGACGCGCGTTAATCAAAGAATGTAACTATCCCCAATCTTAGCCGGCAAGACAACGACCCCGCAGCGCAGTCAGGGAGAGCGTTGGACTTCCGATTAACAGATGCCGGGTTTGAGCCTCGGGTGGTGCATCACCTGGGCTTGGGTATGACTGGCTGATGACAGCTAACGATCCAGAAATGGCCATTCCAGTCTCATTTGTCTTTTCAGACAATGTTCATTTGCCTACACTACTAGCCGCTGTTCGGCTGCTGGCGAGGCTAGAGAATGAGCCCCAAGACAAGACGGGTCGAGTGAGTTCCGTTAGCCATCGGTGAACGTTCATCAATGAATGATAATAAATACTACAGCCCAACTTATGTAAGTCTGCCTAATCGAAAACGCAGTTCCGGATTTCGGACACTACGTGTAGGGTACGGTGGCTTACAGAAAAGCGTTGAAAAATCTGCATAGGATATACTCTTCACGCAATAAGACTATTTCGGTTTTAATTTTGGAATTTCTGGTTATATTTTTAAAAACCTGCCTTAAAAACTAATATAGGCAAACAAACTCCTCGTCCTCGTCCATCGTCCTGTGGTACTAGACAAAGTACCAATGCCCAAATCTCAATTTGGATAAAATTTCAGTTGCTTCAACGCACAACTTAAAACTTAACTTATATCATCCTCGAAAACATATGGAGAAACAGAGTAGCACGTTTATTCAAACCATGGTTAGGACGTGTGGTTAAAGATAGTCAAACACACGTCGACATCCTGTCGTTTATTAATTAACTTGCAGTGAACTCATTCTCTATTGCTCGCCAGTTATTTTCCCAGCCTTGCTTAAAAAGACCTATTGATTCTTAAACGTATCCTCCAAATGCTCTCTTCAGTTGCCGGTGTTTCCGATATTTTTTGGCTGATGTCATGATACAGCGGGACTTTTAAACGGTCAAGCAATTTGCTGGTTGTATTCTCAATGAGATTGCTCATCCACTCCACTCTAAATTAATGGCTGCGCAATCTTCCCGTCTTATGTGCCGGAGCTTCCGTCATATGTCCTGCCGTACATTGGCACGCCCGCACTCTTTACTCCCCTCCCTAGCACGCTACCTCACGTGCAAAGAAACGGAAATCCAAAAGCCGATATTAGACCTGTTTCCATAGTAGATGAGAATTTTATGCACACTTCTACATTTTTGAGTATTTTATTAACTTATCCCTTAGTTTCAGTAAATAGAGCCAATTTTGCTGAAAACTTTGGATGGCACCTTCAAAATAAAGCGTACTTCTCCTTCTCTCTCTCTCTCTCTCTCTCTCTCTCTCTCTCTC